CCCCCCCCCCGCCCCCGCACAAACACACACTGGCAGTGACCCACACACACCCACACACATACTAGCAGTCATACACACGTACACACACCCCAGCAGTGGCACACACAGACCAGGAGTGACCCCCCCCACCACACACACACACACACACCCCTCCATGACCCGCACACACCGTTAGGAGTCACCCCCCCATGCACACACACACCCTTGCTGTGACGCTCACACACACATACACTGACAGTCATACAAACACACGCCCCAGCAGTGACCCCCCCACACACACTGTTAGGGACCACCCCCCCACACACCCTCCCCCACTGTGACACGCACACGCACACACACACACACACACACACACACACACACACATAGACTGGCAGTGACCCCCCCACACACACCCCAGCTGTGACACATGCACATGCACACACACACCTGCTGTGACCCATACACACACACACACACATTAGTGACCATCCCCACACACACCCCAGCTGTGACCCACACACACACACACACCCATACACACCATCAGCAACCCACACACATATACACATACACCCCACCAGCAGTGACCCCCCCCCACACACACACACACACACAGTCAGTGCCCCCTCCCTGCCACACACACACCCTGGCAGTGACCCACACATACACACCCCAGAAGTGACCACACCAGGGCTGCTACCTCTGTGTGTGTGTTTTGCTGTGTATACCAGCATATGTTCCTGGTGTGTGTGTATGTGTGGGGGTGTATGTGGGGGTTGTCACCTGTGTGTGGGTGAGGGTCAATTTGTGTGATTGTCTCGCTGCACGTGCATTTGTGTGATTGTCTCTGTACGTGCATTTGCTCTGTGTGTGTGCATGTGGCAGGGTGTACACTGCTGTCTGTCCCCACATGTGTACTGCCCCATGTGTGTTAGTTTGTATGGTGCCATCTCTTTCTGTAGGTCTGCACATGTGTTGCTGTCTCCTGTGTGCATAAGTGTTTCTGTGTGTGTGTGTGTGTGTGTGTGTGTGTGTGTGTGTGTGTGTGTGTGCATGATTTTGTGTATGCCTGTGCCTAGGTCAAGGTGTGCACAGCTATCTGCATTGCTCTGTGTACACTTGTCTACGTAGTGCCACCTGTGCACATGAATGTGCAAGTACATTGCTGTCTCTTTGTCAGTGTGTGTGTTGTGTAGGTGGGGGGGTGTCCTTTTGTGTGATGCCATCTCTGCCAGTTTGCACTGTTTTGCCATTTCTCTGTGTATTATTGTGTGGTGTTTCTGTCTGTGTGGGTGTCTACTTGCTTAAAGCTAACTGCATATGTTAGGACATGAGTATGTTGCAGCCTTTTGCTGAGTGTCAGTGTGCATGTGTGTGTTGTTGTCTGTAAGCTTATGTGTGCATCACTGTGATCTCATCTCTGTCGGTTTGCCTGTGAGTTGCTGTGTTTGTGTGCAACTGGGTTGCTGCTTCTGTGTGTTTGTGCGGTTTCACACTGCTGTCTCTATGTGTTGTGTGTTTTTGTATAGGGTATTGTGTGCATTGGTGAGTGAGTGTGTTGCTATCTGTAGGTGTGTGTGTGTCAGTTTGTGACATGCCATCTCTCAGTTTATATGTGGGTTGCCATCTCTCTGTGTATCACCGTGCATCGCTGTTTTTGTGTGTACATGGATGTCTCTGTGTGTGTTACTGCTTCTGTGGATCACTGTGTGGTGCTCTCTTTGTGTGGTTCAGTGTGCAGGTGTTGTCTGTATGTGTCAGTGTTCATGTGAATGCTTTCTCATGCCTTCACACACGTGTAAATAGAGGCAGCGGCACACCCCATCACAGCTGCTCTGACACACACATTAACACAGGGACACAGATCCACGCACACACAAGCTGCATGACAGTGTGTCACCTTGAGAAGGGGCTCACACACCCCAGAAATTCAGCAATACACACCTGCACTATAACACACTCACATGCAGACACGGGCATGCAAACACACAGACACACAAGGAGGCTCATCAAAACACAGGAACAAACAGACACATGCCAACAAACAACACACAGCAGAGGGATATTGGGATAAGGACATAACAGAGACACACACAGCAATACACCCAAAGCTGAGAAAGAGAAAAGCCACGCGCAACCCAGGGACACAGACACACACAGAATGACAAACACACATGTGCTGACACAGAAACACACAGGCATGCACACATGCATAAAACAAGAGACAGAGACACATACATGCACAGGCTTGCACACGTGCATGAAACGAGACACAGAGACACACATACATAAATAATACACGTCTGAGACAGAGAAACACACACGCACAATGCAGGGACACAAAGACACACAGAGACAAAATCAGCAACATGCATATACACACTGCAGAAGACACAGGTGGACATGCATACACACTCATATAGAAGCAACACGCAGGCACACACGCAAGATACTGTCAAAGAGATACAGTAAGAAAAAACAACTGATACACACACACAAACGACAGGCAAAACAACACATGTACACATAGTAATAAAGGCACACATGACAGACACACACAAAGGACATAGAGACACAAACAGTGCCACAAACACATACACAACACACACACATAAGAATGAGGCACACACAGACCACGCACATATGTGAAACCAACATTCACACACACACCCCCACACACCCTTTTCAGGGCTCCTTTACATACTGTATTGCAGTATAAAAGGGCTCAGCCCTTCCCTGTTGCCCATGACCTCTACAGACCATCCCCCGGCACCCTCCACCTTCTCATGTGAAGGCTCCCCTTCCTCTAGCACCGCAGGAAGACATTTATAGCCCCAAATTACAGGTAGAGAAACTGAGGCACCAACGATGCAGGAAGTGCTGCACTCACGAGTCAGCTTCAGAGACAGTGTTCAAAGTCATGTGGCCCTGACTCCCAGTCTTGTGCCTGGATCACTAGGGAACTCCAGGAAGTAATGCCATACAGGGCTGGCCACACCATTACCCGCATCTGGCATGGCACAAAGATCCAGTGGCATAGACAACCCTAACCCCCCAACCTAGCTTGTGCCCCCAGCCAGCGGGCGCTATTTGTGGGGAAAGGGGCCCTCTGCTATTTCTCAGCCCTTCCTCCCCACCTCCCTGCCATGCCCCCAGCATGGAGCCTCAGCCATGGAGGTAGGAAGGGTGAAGCATTGCTGCCACTGATTGATGGGTTAGTCCTGAAGGGAACAATGTGGCAGAGCCTGGTACAGGACGTCCCAGCCTCACATTGCTATTTCCCCTCCAGGGCATACCTCGGATTCCTGCTCCGTTTCAGTGGCGCTGCACCAGGGAAACAAACAGAGCCACTTCCAGATGGGTGTGTTGCTTTTCTGCCAGCTCCGGGGACCCCTTGCCAAGTTTTCCCCACCCCACATCCTACCTCCTGCAACCCACAGCCTGTTTGCATTGCTTAACTGCTATCTCCCATATCACGAAAGCCAGGAGATTGCCAGGGACAGATCAGAACAGGCAGATGTATTTCCACAGCTCCCCAGTTTGGTATCGGGATATGGGAAATGCATTCCCAGTCAGATCCTACAGGCTGGACTCATTAAACATCTAGTGCTCTTGGAATTGTTCTTAGAGGTTGTAAGGGGGGGCAGTGTAGCGGGGAGTGGGGGGCGGAAGGGGGCAACCTTTTTGGCAGGCGTGCCACAAAGCAGCCCACCTTCCACAAGCACCATTCAGATCCCCTCCTCCTGCCTGATCTTTGGCTCTGCCTTATGCTTCCTTCTCTATGCTCCCTGCTGGATTTGCTGCTTTACTTTCTGCTCCCTTCCCAATCTGACACCACCCCCTCCCTGATCTACTACATGCCACACACACAGACTGCCTGTGTCATTGTTGGCACCCCTACTGTAGGTTGGCCACCCCTGTCAACCCCCCTGCCCCTAAATCATCCCCAACCAACGCCTGCCCAACTTTTTAAGAAACTCCAGTGAAAGAGATCCCACAACTCCCCTAGGCAGCCTGTTCCACTGCCTCGCCGCTCTGACATTACTGGCCCTCCAAAGTTGGTCAAAGCATCCTTACAACAGGTGATATTTTTGGTGGGAAAATGCATCTGATTCATCAACATTTTAAAACTATAATCCCTTTATTACCAGTTTTCTGCACAGAACAACAGGGCAACCCTGACTCCCTGGCCTGATGGGGTGTCAGACAGGATATGAACAAAGCCAAAAGTACTAATGGAGTTCCTTATTTTGGTCTAAGTGCCCAATAACGCACACACTAGTGAGAGATCCTCAAGGTATGTAAATTATTCCAAGTTTCTGCAATGGAGTAATGGGCATGAAGCCATCTGGCTCCTTTACTGTGGCATTTCAGAAGATGCTTGTTTTGCTCCAGGGCCCTTCCCCAGAGGCACTGTCTTACATAAGGAAAGGAAACCTGTCAGATCCTGGTAGAACCGGATTGACCGAGCCTTGTGCCTGCCTCGTGTTGTGTCGCCGAGCTGGCTGTAAAACAAGCCTTTTTTTGGCTTCACTTTCAATAGGACAACATGCCCACGCCCTAGCCACACGTATAGGACAAAAGCAGGGGAGATACTAAGATGATGGTTTCGGCCCAGGTGGTTTCGCTTACCCGACAGGGAGATCTCCTTCTTCTCGGCCTTGAATGATTTGGTGTAGTTAGAGGTTAAAACCCTGTCCCTTGCAGTACTGGCAGACTGTCCCTGCAAGAGCACAGGCCTCCAGTGCCAGGATCTGGGCTACACAGTTTATGGTGGGGGGGGATTGCTCTCGGGCTCTCCCTCTAGCTTGCTCCTTCGGCCTTTTGGCTAGGGGGAAGCGAGACTAAGGGGATCTGAACTCCAAGGCCTCCGGGTTTGGGGCTTCACCCAGGATGCCTGCCATAGATTTGGGAGTATCTAAAGCCCCAGAGTCTGGGAGGGAGGATACTCACTGGTGGTAGTTTCATACAGGTTTGAATGACTGAGCTCTGCTCCGTTAACAGAATTCAGAACTGATTTGGCGCAATACATGAAATTAAAAAAAAAGCAAGCTAAAAAAATGCTGCTTAATAATGCCAGCTCCTCAGCTTCAACTGGACCTTTCAATCTGAGGATTTCTATCATTTGGTAAGGAAGAAGGGAAGAGATATTGTGATGGGTAAGTTGAAGTGCTGCGTAGTGTCAGGTATGGGAATGGAAACCAGGAGTCCTGACTCAGAAATCCCTGCTCTAATCCACCAGAGCCCATTCCCCTCCTAGAGCTGGGGACATAACCCAGGAGTCCTGGATGCTACCTCCCACCACAGCTCCACGTGAGCCCACAGTGCCCTATTCCCTTCTGAGAGCTGCAAATACAGCTGGATTCAGAAAGGAAGCAGCCAAGCAGGAGATCCAGCCTGAGGGAACCTCTTTTTCCCACAGGGCAGTTATGGGCTGTTGGCAGCAGCCATGCCAGAGGGATATTTAACATCCCAATTAATTCATGACCCAGCAGTGAGAGCAAGAAGAATGCAGCTGAAATTCAGGGCCTCCGGGTCTAGTGAGCTGGTGATGCAGGGCTGGGAATCAGGACATCTCGGGCATTTATACACATACTTTTTCATCCTGTGCCATGCTGGAGATCCACCGTTTTGAAGCAGACTTGATTAAGCGAGTCTGCTCCACCCGTGAGCTAACGCACACCCCGCTGTGCCATATGCAGTTGTCTGAGTGGTGAAATGCACGTTAGCGCGCAGAAAATGGCAGCAGTGAGTTTTTGAACAAAGGCAGACACGGTTCTTTGGGTGAATCTGATATCTTAAGTTGATCTAATAAAAGATATTGGATTCACCCAAAGACCCTTGTCTGCCTATGTCCTTAGACCAACACGGCTACAACCTACACCCCTTTTGAACTAAAGCACCTTCTACGTGTGTTAGTTCAAAAGCGTGCCGCTGCCGTTTTTTTAGCACTGATGCGCATTTCGCTGCTTATACAACTGCAAGCAATGCAGGGCGCTGCAGTGCTTGCATATGTAAAAATGCCTCTTGGGTCTATACTCAGCTCTGGGCAGGAAGCAGGGTCTAGTGGTTCTGTCAGGGCCGTGCTGCACTGACGTCGAGCCTCTCACGACACAGACCGCATCGGTGCCATCACAATGGATCCAGCATATTCAAGTGACAATCAGAGGCCCCCTGTGTCCTAGAGGAATCCCCACGTAGAGGGCAGTCTCCCAACATAGCCACTTGCTCTCCTGCGATATGCACATCCCTGGCCACCCTCAGTCCAGACTTCATGGCCGTGTCAATCCAGCCATGTGGCAGAGCTGTGTGCTCCCCAGCAAAGTGGACTCGCCCTTCCCTCTGTCACAGGGCCTGGGCATGTTCTCCCAGCTGAAAGGGGTGGAAGAGGGTGAAGGCCCCCATGGAGTAGGGGTCCAGCCCCCACTTCTTGACCACCCAGTGGGGGCACAGGCATCTCAGCTCCTCCACTGGCTGCTGGTGGATGGCAGCCAGGTCCCCCAACACCACCTCCACAGCTTTCTTTGGGCTAAGAGGGTCAAAGAACTGGGAGTCATCCCCATAGGTCTGTGAGCCCAGCACCACCCCCAGCCCACTGGAGAAGTTGTGGCTGGGGTACGTGGTAATCCGAGAGAGGAGGTCACTGATGGAGGTCCCACCACGGATCCCCTCCTCCTCCCAGAACTTCTTGGTGCAGGCCAGGCCCACCTTCGTGGCCCCAGTGGAGCGTAGAAAGCGCAGGGCCAAGGTCTTTGCTGGGGACAGGGGAGGGTGGAAGCTGATGAGCTGGGTGGTTTCTGCCATGGCAGTGACAATGGCATAGTCAGCTGTCAGAGTGATGGGAGGGGTGGCAGTGTCCCCGGGTTGGTAGAGCACTTGGACAACATCCTCTTCCCTCTGGATCTGGAGCACAGTGGAGTTCAGGAGCACGGTGCCCCCCAGGGCTTGTTGGAAAGCACTGGGCAGCACATCAAAGCCTCCAGAAATCTCATCAAACCTGGAAGGAGTGGGGGGCAGAAGAGCACAGGGTAACCCAGTGGTTAGAGAGCCAGCCTGGAGCTAGGGAGACAGATGAAGTTGCCTGCCTGGCCCCCAATCTCCTATCTTCTGCCCACCTCCCACGCACTAGGACTACAGAGCAAGGTTGTTATTAGGGTTAAGGTACAACTTCATTTCCAAGCTCTGCCACAGACTTTCTGTGTGAACCCGGGCAAGTCACTTAGTGTATGTCTACACAGCTCCCCAGAGACACTTGGAGCATCTACACTGAAAAAAACTTGATCTTAACCCATGGCTCTGTCCCTGGCAGATCTTTTAGCCCCCAGCTGTTCTCAGAGCCAAGGGTAAGCTTCTGTTTTGCCCTCTGATCTCCCCTCTTATGTCAGGCTGAAGGCACAAACACAGGAAGTCTGATATCACCTGACTTCTGGTCTTTTGAAATCCTATTTTCTGTGTTCATTGACCATAATCAGAGCTAAGCACCGAAGGAGAGCAAATAATAATCAGAACTCTTCCAGGCTTCAGTCTACTTGCTACATGTCTCTCCTGTGCTTGGTGCATGCCTGTGGTGGCCCCCAAGACTTAGGCTAGTCAAAAACAACTTACCTTAGCCTCTGAAAACCAGATCCTACTTTGACTATTAGTGCTGAAGTGTGATCCCACTCCATCCTGCTTGGCCCCTGGAAGGTCCATTCATGCAGCTATTTTGGTATGGGGCTACCACCTTAAAACCAAGCCACAAAAATGCTGGGGGAAGGACGAGGACCCACCCACGTTTTGTACTAACAGTTCTTCAGGGGCTCAAGCAGGGTAGATCAGGATGTGGTCCTCTGTGCCCCAGTCTCCCCATCTGTACACTACCATTGTTATACAACTCAGCATGACTATGGAAGAGCTCAGATAGTGAGAACGCCTTGTGACTGCTGGAGTGAGATTTTTTTCCCATGAGTCAGCCTGTCTCATATAAATGTCAACATTCCTGTCCCCAGCAGCTCACCAGAGTGTCCTTTTAACCGATGACAGCCCTTTCTGCAGGGGCAGGCCAGCCTTTGAGTGTCCAGGCCATGACTAAGATCTGGGTTTACTTCCCAGCTGAGTCCTGGTGTGACTGGGCAAGTCGACGAGACTGGTAACTAGGTGCTGGGGCTCCCCTGAAAACCCTCCAGCTTCCACTGATGTTGCCAGTTCAGCTCCTTTGGCCCTCTATTCTCTTCTCTCTAATGTGGGGATAATAATCTTCCCTTTGCCCACCCGT